TACACCCCCCCAAACATGTAAAACGTATTAACCTGTTAAAATATAGCTGGTTTTCTTTAATACCATCATTTCACTGTATCAGAAAAGTAATCACTAGATGATAAATGCCTTCACATATCATGGATTTGCTCCCTAAGATATACACAGGTAGACATTTTCTATATCATGATGGGGACTTGGGCTATTTGTTTCTACAAAGGAAATGGGAAACATTTAATCGAGGAATTCATTAGGATGAGCTGGAACCTGAGATTACATGAACATTTCAAGTAGTGGGTAAAAAAAAAGCAACGAGTGTTCAGCTAGAAATAAGTTATTTTATTTTAAAACACATACAGATTAATAAATATTATTGGAAAACTTAATAAATAGCCTTTTATATTTACATAAGGCAATTACAACATGCTATGACTACTTCTATGAAGCAAAATATAAGCAAGTTTTAGCCATTACAAATGTGTGTATGTATGCTAATTGGAAGCTCCCCTGATACATTTACAGGAAAAAACTTATGCAATCAATCAACATGTTACATTTTTTTACGTAGTCATCATCTCCTTCACGATTATATTCCACTTTACAAGAAAGAAACATTTATCATTTAAAAAGGGAAAAACACTCAGGAATGCTACTGAAAAACAGTACCCTTAAATTATTCCAAAGTGCAAAAACATTGACATGGGGGTGGGGGTCAAATTATTATATTCTGACAAAAGAAATAGTCTGAACTTTTCAACGTGACCTTTTGGCACTAGTGGTTTGGGAGCTCCTGACATTTACCTGGTGTCAGGTAGTTCATGGTCAGGGTTGAGCTGCTTGGAAGCAAGAAGTTCAGCATCATTCATTACAAACCTAACACAACAGAATCAGTCTGGTTCACAGGTCATCGAATCTTCTGCAGAATGTCAGAAAATCTCATCACACCATCAGAATGTGATCTTTCAGTGCAGCTTTTTAAAGTCCCTGTTTAATTTCCATATTTTATAATAGAATATATAAAACCCTTCCTTTTAAAACAAAAAAAGGAAAATTAAAGCTTCACGGAATCGTGCAAACTTTATACCCAGCACTTCCTTTGCTTACTCAGTGCTTGAAGCTGCATGTCAGTAGCACAGTCCTGAGCAGACAGGATGCCCAGTGCAAACTGAGCTTCTACTGCATCACTCCAGAGCAATCCTGCACAGAACACTCTTGTCTGAGGCTATCAGCACACGCTAAAAGTGTGAGCGCTCTAAAAGAGGTGATTTGGAGAACCATCTCACCCCTTTAGAGGTAGAGAAACTGAGGCACTGAAAGGTTAAGTGACTCACCTATAGTTGCACAATTCAAGGAAAAATAGAGAAAAGAACAAATAAACCCTTCTCCCTGGCTCATGCTCTGGGCCCTAGACTATGCTTTTTATCACATTGGGTACATTTGAAATAGATTTATTTACATGATCATTGTTCTATTATCAACTTTTTACTAGACAACATTTTTTGATGTAACATAAAGTTACATTTTCTTAAAATATAATTCTCTTGTTGCATTTAATAGCATGTGAGAAACATGTATGAAAATAAACAAGTAGTGATACTGGGCCAAATTCTTGTTCTCATTTCTATAATTCTTAATCTTTTCAAGTATATGACGGAGGTATAAGAATCTGGCCAGATGTGAAAAATCACCTAAAAGCTAAAGGACAGAGCCTTAAAATTCATCACCAGTACAACTATGAGGTGGAAGTGAGGAATACAGAAAATTGAGGTATTTTATATGATAAACTGTTTTATGGTGTGACTGGTGTGCAACTTGATCTTTTCTCTTTCCAACTCAAGTTAACAGACCTCTAGCTATGAATATGAGTAAAACATATGAAAAACTAACACGGACATGTCCTTGGGAAGAAGGTCGATGCTAAGTTGTTAATGTTAACATTTTTGGTCCCTGAGAAGGCGGAACACTAAGATTCCATCTAATCCTGCTTGATGGGTGAACTACTTCCTTGGTGTCAAACACAGTGAGGACAACTCCTTCAGACCACTGGAACCAATCAGACAGTTGTGAACAGATCTGAACTAAAGCATTTTTCTCTTTCTGGTTTCCTACTCGGTACAAGAGGCTTAAATCAGGATCAAGTAGGCATCAGAAAAGACAATGGGCATGGCTCTGTAGACAATCGGAACACTTTCTCTGCTCTTCTAGATTAGTTGAGCAGTTTGGAAAAGAGAGGTATCATCTCCCAACAAGAACTAGGCAGCTCATCAACACCTTGGTCTCTGGTGGACCAAAGTGCTTGTCCACACCTGGGAGACACTGCATCTCGGTGCTTTACAAATGTCTAGAAACTAGCTTCTAGAAGTGAGCACAGTATTTACAAAGAGAGGGGCTGTCAAGAAAGAAGGAAGATGAGGGGTGACTGCACACGTTAATAGTGTTCTCTTCTATCAGACATGAAACCCAAAGAAAAAGAACAAAAACCAAACTACTACAGCTGGAATGAACTTCTGGAAATAAAATTGAGTACAACAAATTGGCTTGAAAAGTAGTAATTGAAAGAATATTTCTTATTGCTGAACCAAGAGCAGCAAAGTATATTTCACTAACATTCTAATATGAAAATACCATAGGGACATTTGACTGAAGAACCAGTTGTGGGCAGTTCTTGCTCCAGGTGTGGCAAGGAGCAGACTGTCCTTCCTCTCCAAAACCTTCTCTACAGACATGGAATGGTCCTCCAGAACAGCAAAATGCCCAGGGTGGTCTCAGTGCTAGGCCCCAGTGAGCAAGACAAGAAAGCAATCTTTTTAAATGTAAAGATTCAGATGAGAAAACGAAGCATTGACCAAGTAGTAGAGGAGACAAATGGCTTATTTAAGTATCTATCCAGAGTAAATTTGCAAACTGTGATCAGAAACATAAGATTTTAGAGGAGGTTTGAAAACAAATAGACAATAGGTATTTTTTTCTTAATTCATCAGAGATAAAACCCAAGGAATAGTATAATAATGAAAATGTTTCACACGTATTTACTTTTGGAGAGACCAATGAGACCCATTCCCATTCTAGGCCCTCCCCTAAAACTCTCACTTTGAGGCTTTTTCCTTTGCAATTCCAAACAAATTATGAAAACATGAATGTGTAAAATAATAATAAGACTATTAAATCAAGTTATATGCTCTATGTCAGACATGAAAATCAGGTTATTAGACTGCTGGTCATGTCAATTATTTTGAGGCTAGAGTCACACACTTGAAATAAAATCATAAGAACTTCATTTACTGGAAGGAAAGCTGTGCATCCTACCAAAATAATCTGCTAAACCTGGGAGAGTCTAACTGTTCCAGACCAAGTCACCCTGAAGAGGAGACCAGCTATCACTACTTTCAGATTTTGTTTTACTCTAAAAAAATCATAGGGGTAATCATCCAGAAAATATCACCTCTGAATATCCATGGTATAATTGTGAATTAAAATATAATGAGGAACACTAATAAATGAATTTAAACACTAATAAATGAATTCACCTGTAAGTAATAACAAAATAAACAAGATAATTTCCATAAGACACATGAACTTTCTCAGTATACTTGGGTTACCACATGTATTCTTTTAATATCTCAAACTCCTCATCTAGGAAACTATTTTTATGCCTGAAAGTATATTGATACAACTACATGACATTTTTGAAAGTTCAGTTCAATAAATTAAGGCTTGCAGTCCTAAAAAGACCAGATTAAAAAAAACAAAACCTTCAAGAGCTGATAAAAAGAGTGAGGGACTTTTTGAATATTTATTAACTATCAGTGAATATAAGATTTAAAAATTTTTAAAACAATTTTGTTGCTGCTCTTTGTTCACTAATCCCTGACAACCCACAATCATCAGATGTACTTTTAAATCATAAAGGTGTTCTTCACTCTATGTTAAACTATCCTCATTTTATTTAGCTTCTTTGTTCAACACTCTAGGGAACAATTTTTTTGGTCTTTAGAAATGTTCTTTTTGCCTGAAAAAAAAATTTTTTTTCCCTTAGTGAGTAACTTCAATTGAGTATTATTAAATTTGATATTCTAGTTCACCAAATCTACCTTACCCAATCCCATCTTCCAACTTGACACAGTTCCCTATTTACATAAAACACTGCACATGAAGTACATGATATCTTAATGAAATAATATGCATCACTTTGTGCTTTGCTCCCATTTAATAAAATCGAAAGTTACTATAAACAGACAAATGATCTCTTTGACCCAATTACTGGCATAATTAGTGGCTATTTTGCATTTCAAAAGCTTAATGAGAGGTTGGGTGAGGAATTATAGGGTGCTCTGCCATCTCAAACAATAAGGAGATGGAGATGTTAATTGTTTTCATTTTTGCTAGAAATTCTTTTGAAAACTTACTATATGTGTTCCAATTTGCAGAAACTAGCCTGAGCTTGACTGTGTCCTTTAACCTGTTCCTGTATTATAGGGAACTTGATATATGTGCTATTAAACATTTACTCTCTCATCTAACAGTGTTATTATCAAGTTAAATAATTTATTTCTTCTGAATGGCCACAATGCTCACTGAAAGAGAACATGGATATATTTGATCCTGGGTCCCAGGTACATGGACTGAATGCAAATAAAATACCTTATACTACTTAAGTCAGTTGTCTTTAATTGAATGATAACTACATGCTAAAAGGGTCAATTTGCTCTTATGTGTCTTTTGCCTTGACTTTCTTCCAACAAATGAATATACTGTTATTTCTAAATGCTTTACACATTTATATTTTGAATACTGAAATATTAAAGTATAATCAAATAGTTATTCTAATCTAAGAGAACATACACATAGTAATCATCAAATTAAGTGAAGAGTTCAAGTGAGAAAGGCACTGAAATTGATTTGAGCTATTCAAAGTCATCCTATAAATGGAACTCTGCATCATGTCCACCTATTCTCTCTCTATTTTCAATTAAAATGTTTTGGAGTAGGGGGTGGGAGAGTCAGCTCATTAGAGGATTAAAAACAATTAAATGTATGTACTTCTTATTTGGATGAGGTACCTGAATGTTATACATGCTTAATGCAAAATAACACAAGTACAGACACATTTACTGTATAGTCAGACTTCAAGACAACAATTTCTCCCATTTCCAAAGTAATCTTCTAAGTAAGAATATCTGCTCCCCTGCAAAGACTAATCAGAAAGAGCCCATCTTTATCTTCTATTAAATAATGTTAAAATATTTTAAAAGGAAAGAGTATTCATGAAAGCTTCCAGGTTAATGGCTATGAACATGAGATTCCTCTCATCAGAGAGAGATGATGCCCAGACAACCATTTAGCAACTTCAGACTGCAAAGGGCTGGGCCCCCACCCTGGTGCTGAGTGATGCTCCCCACTGTTCACCAGACCACCCATTAATATGCAAGTAACTTTAATACCATTGATTAGGGTCTCTTCTACTACACATCAAATTAGAGCCAGAAACCACATCCATTTCCCACTTCTTGAGCCACCCAACCCCTGTTGCATCCTAATCTGTTTTCATATTAGATTTGTTCATCTCCCCAAGGTTGAAATTGAACTCTTTGAACACCTGTATAAGGACAATCCCAACAGAGACGGTGGTGAACCCACAGGCCATACCCAAGAAGTCCACCAGGCCCACATTGCTCCATTCCCGAAAAAGGATGGCCGAGGCTAGCAGGACAAGGGTGGTGAACACGACGTAGTAGATGGCCCCGAACACAGAGGAGTCGAAGCACTCAAGCGCTTTGTTGATGTACCTGAACTGGACGATGATGCTGCAACCGAGCACAGCAAGGAGCACCAGGCACAGGCAGAGGGCCCGCTGACTGGATGGGTTGTTGTGGAAGATGTCTTGGGCCGCCAGCCCGATGCCCTTGGTGGAAGGCACGGTGAAACTCCCTAGCAAGGAGCAGATACTGATGTAGACCATGATGTTGGTGGGCCCATGGGCCGGTGCAATCCAAAAGATGAGCAGTAGCAGCATAAGGAGCACGATGCACAAATAGCCCACAAACACTGGAAAACAGATGATTTTCTTGCTTTAGAGTCAATTTAACAAAACCTAGGCAGACAGCACTCTTGTGTGTGTGGCCAGAGTGGGAGGTTTCTTAAGGAACATGTGAGAAAGCTGTAGGGGTATTCGTGGCTGTTGCGGGGATCAAGGGCTGCATACAATAGGCAAAGGCCATGGGCCCTAGGATGTGGAGAGAGTTTCACACAATTAAAATCATCCCATTCTCCTCACAACTTCTGAATGTCTCCTTGGGTTTCTAAGGGAAAAATATGTTTATAATTACCACAGCCTAGTACCCAGTATATATATAAAACAAAGTAATTTTTGCACATATTTAAGAAGCACTGCATTTTTCAGAACTTCATCAAGAGTTATTCTCCATTTCAGAGGATCCCACTGCTGATGGCAATATCCCCTGAGTGTTTCAGTTAATAGCATGACACCCCATGTGTTTGCAGCTGCCAGGGTGTCAGCAACTCCACATGCTGTGGGGTCTGCTGACTTTAGTATGTCTTCTATAGTCGTACCTGAGCATTCTATTTTATTATAAAGTACCAACCTGCTATTTGTCCTTCATATTACACTTAGGGCATCATATTGAAAATTTGCTTTGAAATTACATGTACAAGGAAGTTGTAATTTCCAATTCAATCTGAGATTGTAAAGGAGGTGCTAGGAGCTGGGCCTGATGGGGCTAGGAATGGCATGGCCATGCACCAGGCAGGCTGTGGGAGTCCCCTCTTCCCCAAAGGTAAGAAAAAGGAACTATGGAGCCCTGTTCTGGGGGAGGATTCAGGAAGATGACCGTAAAATTTCTGAGGCAATTATTTGACAAAAAATTCATTCCGGTTTTTTACATTTAGAAAAACATTTTTAAAAACTAGAAACCTCTTTAACTTAATACATTAAGTCGATAGAATAATATCAATTTATATTCCAGATTAAAACAAAGTTTTTCATGTTAAAAACAAAAATCTTTTTGCTAGCATTATATCATCATGCAAAATTGTTATGGTAGAATTCAAATTAGACATGGTTTTTGTAAAAGTTAGGACCTGAATATACTGGTAACATCCAGATTTATCCAAAAATAAGAGGTGTTGGGGCACTTGGGTGGCTCAGTTGGTTAAGCATCTCTCAATTTCAGCTCAGGTCATGATCTCAGGGTTGTGAGATCGAGCCCCAAGTAGGGCTCCATGCTCAGTGGGGAATCTGCTTGAGATTCTCTCTCTCTCCTTCTCCCTTTGCAGCCCCCACTCAAAAAAAAAAAAAAAAAAGATACACTGTTCTGAAAATTACATAAAGTAAATCCTTCAGGACATTCATATCCAGTTTTCTGATTTTTTTTCATGTGTTTGTACTCTCATTTCTCACAGTTTTGGAAATATTTTGGCTTTTACAGGATGAAGTAAATAGAACAATACTAAGTATTTACGGATAAAAAATTACAGAGAAATAGTCTTGGCTAATTTCATTATGAATCCCTTTTCAAATTTTACAGATATTTCTGCGGCAATGTCAGTCACAGACAATTGAGAGCTATAAAAGAATGGTCAGATTTTTTTGTGGCCCAGAGATGTCTGTATTTGGGATATTCATGTGGATGCAGTTTTTTGCTGGTACCTGTCTACAATTGTTGGTAAGCAACATTAAGATGGTCTACTGGGAGTAATTTAGAAGAATCTATACTTTAGGCTGGTATAATTATGTAGACTGTTTTTTTATAGCATTTGTCAAAAAATATATAGTATGTCAAAAATACGTAGAAAAAAATCTAGAGAGATTTCTATGGGAGCTCCAAAGATAAATCAAACTGGATCTCAGCTCTCGGCTTCACATTAGAGGGAAGTGCAGAGGCTTGGACACACAGTGGTTCCGAGGGGAGGATGGCTCAGAGCAGACCCCAGCAGGACTAACACCAAGAAGCAGTAACAGCAGGAATGTGGGAAGGAGGTGGGGTACGAATACTGGGAGGTGGGGAGAGGTGAGAGGCTGTGGGAGGAGACGTGTTGGGGGATGGTCATGGGAGGCAGGGGAATGGGAAGGCCACAGTAAGCAGGGGTTGGGGGGGTGTGGAAGGGAGGCTGGAACAGATGAGACTGTTGTGGAGGGGGCCAGATGAAGGCACCCATGCAACAGGTCCCTATGGTCCAGGAGAAAGCAGAAGAGGTCCCGAACCCTAGGGAGGGGGGATGCAAGGTCTGGAAAGCAAGGACCACCAGGCGTCTTCCCACACTGGGGCAGCAGGAGTGAGGGATGCTATAGCCAGCAGGGCACAGTGATGGCCACTCATAGGCAAAGTCAAACACAGGGTCTAGGAGAACGGACCATGGGTAAGCCAACCCCACCCTATACCTGGAAGGATCATACTGACAGGCAAGCTCTCTTGCAGCTTTGCTAGAAAGGAGTTACCTGGGTTAGTCAGCTTCTCTTCCAGCTCAGCCTGAGTGGTCACACTCTCAGATTTTGGGGAGTGGATAATCAGCACAACAGAACCTGCACAGCTTAGCAGACATCCCAACTTGCCCAAGATGTTGAGCTTTTCCTTCAGAAGATAAGAAGCTAAAATGGACCTTTGTTTAAAAAAAAAAAAGAGAGAGAGAGAAATCATTAAAATTTAAACCATATATTTGACCTGCTTCTACTAATTGTACTTGTTTTGGAAAAGTTGTATTTTCTTGATAGCCATATTTGTTTTTAATTTAGTTTTTAAGAGGAGAAAAGATTAGGAATTTATTGAAATTGTTACTTAAACACAAAGGATTTTCATACCAATTCCATGCAGTCAGTATATAGTTAATGACTCTTAACTCATACTGCTATATATTATTTCAATAGATATGAAATATACCAGAATAGAAAAATGAGTTTATCATTCATAAAAATGAACTATTATGATTAAATAAAAATACTCCTTCCTTATTTTTAAAAGCAAACAATTGGGATGCCTGGGTGGCTCAGTCGGTTGAGCGTCCAACTCTTGGTTTTGACTCAGGTCATGATCTCAGGGTCATGAGATCAAGCCCCACCTCAGGCTCCCCATTCAGTGCAGAGTCTTGTTGAGATAATCTCTCCCTCTGCTCCTCCCCCTGCTCTCACTCTCTCTCTCTTAAATAAAATCTTTTTAAAAATAAATAAATAAAAGCAAACAATCAAACTATGTTAAGTGGAAAAGTAGATATGAAAACTTAAAATAATTATAAGTCATTCATGATGAAAACACTTAAGTTAAAATAAATTGAGAAAATGCACAAAAAGGGAAAAAACCAAAATGCTAATAGTACTTGCATTATGGTAGGAGTATGGGTCATTGATTATTTTTCTCTTCTATAATACCCCCAAACTTTTTTTGGAGAGAGAGGGATGAGGAGGAGGGACAGAGGGGGAGGGAGAAGGAGGGATGGAGGGAGGGAGGGAAAGAGAGAGAGAGAGAGAGAGAATCTTAAGCAGGCTCCACACCCAGTACAGAGCCCAACTCGGGGCTTGATCTCACAACGCTGAGATCATGACCTGAGCCAAAACCAAGAGTTGGACACTTAACTGACTGAGCCAGCCAGGTGCCTCAATACCCCAAACTTTTAAAATGTGTTCACGTTACTTTTATAAGGCAAAAAAAAAAAAGTATTCCTTTTAAAATTTCTATAATCTTAAGGTTTTTAATATGTTTCTTATTTCCCTATGTAACATCAGGATACAATCTGAATTGGAAAACCTAGGCTTTTAGTAATCATAGGACTAGTAACTGTCACTTTGTTGTTGTCTATGCCAAAGGCACTCAGGAAACACAAATATCCATCAGGGGGGCACACTAGATATATGGGATTTCCTTCTTAATCCTCATTTTATAGATAAAGAGACAGCCTCAGAAAGGATAAGCACTGAACTCAAAACCACAAAGCTAAGAAGAGGTGAAATCATGGTGATGACAAACCACAAAGCCAAAGCTCCATCTTTTCCCTTATACCACTTTGTGTCTTTATCTCTAGACAGCCTGGTCCTCAAGGAAACTTTGGCAATGTACTTGGAGAAATAATCAACATCACCAAAACAACCAACAAAAGATATTAGAATACACAACTGGGTGTTAATTTGGGGTTACACATAGCTGCACACAAGTGGAAACGAGAAGACTGGGAGGCTCTCAGAGTAAGAGGTGAGCCTGGGATGATGGGTAGGCTATGCCAAAGTGGTAAGTGGCTGCCATGGGTGAAAGAAGAGAGGCAAGAATGGTGAAAAAGAAAATCAAAGCTGGAGGCATCACAAATCCAGACTTCAAGCTGTATTACAAAGCTATAATCATAAAAACAGTGTGGTACTGGCACAAAAACAGACACATAGATCAATGGAACAGGATAGAAAACCCAGAAATGGACCCTCAACTCTATGGTCAACTAATCTTCGACAAAGCAGAAAAGAATACCCAATGGAGAAAAGACAGTCTCTTCAACAAATGGTGCTGGGAAAATTAGACAGCCACAGACAGGAGAATGAAACTGGACCACTGTCTTACAGCATACACAAAAATAAACTCAAAATGGATGGAAGAATAAATGTGAGACAAGCATCCATCAAAATCCTAGAGAGGAGCATCGTTTTGCTAGGTATGTCTTCAAAGGCAAGGGAAGCAAGGGCAAAAATGAACTATTGGGACTCCATCAAGATAAAAAGCTTTTGCACAGCAAAGGAAACTTCAGTCAACAAAATTAAAATGCAACCTACGAAATGGGACAACTTCTCAAACTCAACACCCAAAAATCAAATAATCCACTCAAAAATGGGCAGAAGACATGAACAGACACTTCTCCAAAGAAGACATACAAGTGGCTAACAGACACATGAAAAAATGTTCAACATCATTAGCCATCAGGGAAATTCAAATCAAAACCACAATGAGATACCACCTTACACCAGTTAGAATGGCAAAAATTAACAAGGCAGAAAACAACAAATGTTGTAGAGGATGTAGAGAAAGGGTAACCCTCTTACACTGTTGGTGGGAATGCAAACTGGTGCAGCCATTCTGGAAAACAGTATGGAGGTTCCTCAAAAAGTTAAAAATAGAGCTACCCTACCACCCAGCAATTGCACTACTAGATATTTATCCAAAGGATACAGACATAGTGATTCGACGGGGCACATGCACCCCAATGTTTATAGCAACAATGTCCACAATTGCCAAAATATGGGAAGAACCCAGATGTCCATCAATAGATGATTGGATAAAGAAGATGTGGTGTATGTATACATATACACTGAAATTGTATTAGGCATCAGAAAGACTGAAATCTTACCATTTGCAATAACGTGGATGGAACTAGAAGGAATGCTAAGCGAAATAAGTCAGAGAAAGACAAGTATCAGATGATTTCACTCATATGTGGAATGTAAGAAACAGAACAGATGAACATAGGGGAAGGAAAGGAAAAATAAAATAAGAGAAAATCAAAGAGGTACCATAAGAGACTCTTAACTATAGGAAACAAACTGAGAGTTGCTGGAGGGGAGGCAGGTAGAGGGATGGGGTAACTGGGTGATGGGGATAAAGGAGGGCACTTGTAATGAGCACTGGGTGTTATATGCAACTGATGAATTGCTGAACTCTACCTCTGAAACTAATAATACACTATATGTTATTTAATTGATTTTATATTTTTTAAAAAGACAAGAAATACTAAATGTTGGTAAGGAGAAAGGGAAACCCTCAGGCACTGTTGGTGGACTGTAAGCTGGTGTAGCCACTATGTAAAACAGTATGGAGGTTCCTCAAAAAATCAGAAATAGAACTATCATATGATCCAATAATTCCACTGCTGGGCATTCACCCAAATAAATGAAAACATTAATTCAAAAAGATACGTGAACTTCAATGTTTTCTGCAGAATTATTTTTAACAGTCAAGATATAGCAGGAAACTAAGTCCTTATGGATAGATGAATGGATAAAGAAGGAATGGTAGGTGTGTGTGCATGCACATGTGCGTGCGTGCGCACACACACACACACAATAGAATATTACCCAGCCATAAGAAGAGCAAAATCTTGCCATTTGTGACAACATGGATGGACCTAGAGAGTACTATGCCAAGTGAAAAAGTCAAAGACAAATGCTGTTATGATGTCATTTATATGTGGAATCTAAGTCACAAAATGAACAAACAACAAAGCACACAAAACCCTGAAGGCTCATAAATACAGAGAACAATCTGGTGGTTGCCAGAGGGGCAGGGGTGTGGGGAGATGGGTGAAATAGGTGAAGGGGATTAGGAGGTATAAACTTCCAGTTATAAAATAAACCATGGGTTGAAAAGTAGAGCATAGAAAATACGGTCAATAAGAGTGTAATAACTGTATGGTGACAGATGGTAACTACATTTATTGTGATGAGCACTGTGTAATTTATAGAAATGTTGAATCATTTATGTTGTATACTTGAAACTTATATAACATTGCAGGTCAATTTTAATTTAAAAAAATTCTTGGGACGCCTCAGTGGCTCAGTTGGTTAAGCACCTGCCTTCAGCTCAGGTCATGATCCCAGGGTCCTGGGATTGAGCCCCACTTTGGGCTCCTTGTTCGACGGGGAGCCTGCTTCTCCTTCTGCCTGCCACTCCCCCTGCTTGTGCTCTCTCTCTCTCTCACAAATAAATAATACTCTTAAAAAAAATTCCTGTAGCTTTCAGTGTACAGATCACCTACTTGATTAAATTGATTCCTCAGCATTTTATTGATGTTACTGTGAACAGAATTGTTTTGTTTCTCAGGTATTTCATTGTTAATGTAGAGAAACACAACTGATTTCTATAACCTGAAACTTTACTGATTTTTTTTTTATCTGTTCTAACAGTGTTTTGCTGGAGTCTTTAGGATTTTCTATATATAAGACCATGTTGTGTACAAAGACAATTTTAATTCTTCTTTTCTGATTCGGATGCCTTTTCTTCTTTTTCTTGCTTAATCCCACTAAGACTTCTAGTACTATGTTTAATAGGAGTGTTGAGAGTGGACACACTTGTCTTTTCCTGATCTTAGAGGAAAGTTTTCAAACACTCACTGCTGATTATGTTAGCTGTGGGCTTGTCATCTATGGTCCTTATTATGTTGAGGTATGTTACCTCTATACCCAGTTTGTTAAGAGCGTTTTATCATGAGAGGATGTTGACTTTGATCAAGATTTTTTGCATCTACTGAGATGACAATTTAATTTTGATCTTTCATTGTATTAATGTGGTATATGACATGTATTAGTATTCCTATGTTGAACCATGCTTGCATCCCACAGATAAATCCAAACTGATGATGATGTATGATCCTTTTAATATACTATTAAATTTGGCTTGCTAATATTTTGTTGAGAATTTTTATTGATGAATTGAGGATAGATTCATCAGGGATACTGGTAGTTAGTTTTCTTTTCTTGTTGTGTCTTTACCTGGCTTTGGTATCAGGGTAATGCTGGTTTATAAAATAAGCTTTGGAGTGTCTTCTCCTCTTCAATTTTTTAGAAGTGTTTGAAAAGGATTGGCATTAATTCTTCTTTAAACATTTGGTAGAATTCACCCATGAAGCCATCTGGT